TGCCTGCGTAGTGTTAAATGAATTCGCGAAAAGCTGTTAGCGCTTGAACGCTTTTATATGGATGAGTAGAGTCGGAAATAGAAAAGAATGGCGAAGTTGTCAGCTGATTTGGTGGCAATAAAAAATGCGACGATGAAACAACAGCTGATCGTGCGGTCGTCAGCACTGTTCCTCCTCCGTTGTTTTTTGGGTGATCCCAACTGCTCTTATATCTTTTGTCAATGGCATTCGTGGGTATTTTTTGAAATAAATTTTGTGATATGATCTTTAAAGATAATTTTTGTCGGAAAATATGTTGAAAACTAATGAAGTTTTAAACTGGGATGAAATTTTAGAAGGATGACCGGCGAGCCCGAATAAAATTGAACTGTCTGATCAACTGTCCGTCAGTTGTTGTGCTGCCGCTCAATCAACTCTCAAATCAAACTATTATTGCTGAAACTCCTCGGATTCGAATCATTAATCGATTTCATTTATCATCTACGATTGACGATTTCAGCAATTCTAAGATCGGCAACATACTTGGTAATTTCCCTTAATTTTTGGTTTTTTACTTTTCTTAGTACTCGCAGTTTATGTATTGACAGAATTAATGAAATCACTTCGGCGTTGCACAGTTCCCCTGTGTATTAGGATAGTCGTTTACTCCTGTGTCTTTCTTGCTTAAACAGTAGCACTGATCTTCATTGTTTCACTGCTTTAATCGGGCCTGCATCATCTAATGTAATTTTAATTTTAGATGATGTGTATTTATGTAAAAAGTAAGGTTTAAAAAGGAATAAAAGGAGGGTGAATAAGATAAATCGGATTAAAAAACCTGAATAGGAATGTTTCGGTCCTTTAAGTCGCATACATTCCTGTTCAGTGCTGCAACTGGACCTCGTCAGTGTGACGGTTGCAGCAAAATTAACATACAGAGTGTCAAAAGAAAAAAAGGGGAATTTTGATAATATAAAAAAGTTAGAGCAAAAAGTAAAAGTGCATTTAGGAAAAACAAACCTCCACCATTATGGTTTTTGAATTACGACTTTTAGTTATTACGATTTCCTTGATTTCCTTTTTCATAATACCGTCGTTGTTTGTATATAATTCCTGGAAAAAACTTAGGCTGAATGGCAAAGACAGTGTGTATTTGGTATGTGTAAAAAAGTGCTGAAGATAGTTATAATGATGCTATTTTAAGAGGATGATGATTACGACTGTGTCATTGACTGGATGTCTGTTAAGTGCTCCGAAACAGCACTTTATGATGGCGTTCGAATACCAAACACCACCGCTGCACTGCGTGAAGTTACTGGTAATTTTTTTGCTTGTTACTATAGTTATTTTGAAATATTTTGTTGCTTGCGGTGCTTTAAAAATGAGGCGAATTCAGGATATGAACGGATATGCCGCGATATGTTCCAGCATTTCCACTTTTTACGCTCCAGGAAGAGTGTACTTTCCAGGCCATATGACTTAACAGTGAACGTGTTTCGAAATCTGGATGTGGCTATTTCACACAGAGGTGAACTCTTCTCCTGTTTTTTTTTTTTTTGTAGACTTTTCATTTAAGGAAAAATATCGATTTGGTTTAAAAAATCCGAACTCTTTTGATTTTCGAGCACCATACGTTTTAAAAAACAATGACAATACGAATGATAAATAGCAACGCGCACGAGACTAGCCGGTGCGATCATGCGTTTTGTGCAATCCAGCTCATCGAAAGATAACCTATTAATGATTTTCACTGCTTTGTACTTTATGCAAAAATAGTTGAGACGTTGAAAAACAGTTAGAAATTTCACGCACCTGCGCATGAAAGCTGAATTCGAAACCTTGAAGGGTGAATATCTTTTCGTGATTCCCGATTTAATAGTTTACCCGCCAAAATTTTCGCAAGGCGGTAGGTGATACTCGAGAGCGCGGGAATGCTGAGTTTGAATAGGTAAGGTTGAGCATGGGCAAGGGGTCATTATTGTAAAATTTCAACTTTTTGGACTTTGTGGTTCCCGAGATAATAATTTACTCGTCAAAAATTTTCACGGGGCCGTACTTGTTGCCCGCTGGCAGGGAAAAGCTGAATTTAAATTTTCTGGGTAACACAAGGGGAGGGGGGAGGTGAGGACATGCTCACAAAATTTCAGCCTTCTATCTCCCGCATTTCCCGAGATACTGCTTTTACTCGAAGAACTTTTACGGGGCCGTACGTATTACCTGCGGGTACGGGAAGGCTGAATTTAAATTTGCCGCGTCACCCGTTGACGGGGAACACTATACT